GGGAACGGCCCGTTCCGGTTTGGGAACGGCCCGTTCCGGTTTGGGAACGGCCTGTTCCAGTTTTGGAACGACCCGTTTTAAGATACTAAAATACACATGTTTTTGTAGTTTGGAACGGGCCGTTCCAATTTTGGAACGGCCCGTATAATCGATTATGTTGGCACATGATCGATTATGTGCCATGCATAATCGATTATGCGTGGCACATAATCGATTATGTGCCAACATAATCGATTATGCATGGCACATAATCGATTATGTGTCATGCATAATCGATTATGCTGGCACATAATCGATTATGTGTCCTGCATAATCGATTATGCACGTAATTTTCAGAAGGGTTTTTACGTCTTTCAATCCTTGCCAACATGGCTTTTTTCGCTTTTTTTCACGGTTTATCGAAGAAGCCTCTGTACGCTTCTCCCGCTTTTCTTCGCTTTTCTTTCTTCGTATTTCGCTGGAAACAAACACGTTCCATCCTCGTCTTTCCTTTATCGTGTACAGTAAATTAGTGGAAGCAAACAAGGCTTAAAGATTTGGCTCTCCAGTTTCTTGCCTAACATGCTAAACCCAACCCACAAAGCAATCCTATATTTCTACGCCTCACACTAGCCTACAACCACACCTCATTCGCCCCCACCAACAACTCCGCCATAAATTATTTACATTGTCCCTAATTATTTTTTATAAAATATTAATAGTTTTATAAAAAAATTTTAAATACATGTTATATAATAAAAATATTTAAGATTTGAACTAGGAAATAATTTCTCTCCCACTCCACACTCTAATTTCATCTGTTCATGGCCTCTGCTAATCTAACTGGAGGAGTCACCGTGTTTCCCTGTTCACCTTTTCACCAAGTCCCACATCGATTTCACTGTTCAACCACTCTTTGCGGCGCTAATTAATTCTTGCTGCTTCTGCTTTCGTAGTAAGAGCTGTGGGCCTATGGCAGCATGATTAAACCTAATTCAATTTATCGATCCACATGCCAATGTCTTTGATATAGAACAAAAGATTACTACTGTGTGCAGATGGGACATCAAAGTTTTTCTATGCAAGGCAATTATATGTCACCTGAATCTTAGAATTGACCATTCAACTGTAGAATTGTCTGTAATGACGGGTTAGGGTAGTATGAATCAATCAGTGAGTACAATCGACTGATTCTGAAACTAATATTTATTAGTTATACGGTCCAGTTTTAACAACGTTCATCTTCATCCACATACACAACATAGCTTGCTGTCTTAGTTTTTCTTTCTTACTTTATATTTAGAGAATATATATGCTTGATACAATAAAAATAAAAAAATAATAAAAAAAATAATAAAAAAACTCTACAAAATATAGAGTGAAGAAATAACGAATAATATGTTGGGGAAATATCCTCACATATAGAACTTATGTTTATATTTGTAGTGGCTATATTAATTAAGCATGACGAAGACGTAAAGGGAGAAACACTGGAGCATGCAGCAGGTAGAATCAAGGTTTTGAAAGTGAATTGATCAACTTGTTGCTAAAATCCCAGAGTTTCCTTCCTAAGAGTTGGTTTGAAGCAAGTGCACTTGGTTGAAACTCGTTACAATCCAGAAAGTACTTCCCGGTTATCCCTTTCAGGTTGGGGTGTATAGCAACATAGCACGTTGTGGCTGCTCCCTGCTTAATTGGTCAAAATTAGAAACTACATGATATTATGATCCATGAGTGACTTCAATTATTTTCAACACCCTCCAATGCAACATTTGTTTTAGACTATCAATCCTAGCTGGAAGGAGGAAAACAAATAGAATATAATATACCTGGGGTATGCTCTTCCACATGAAGAAGGTGAACATCTTCAGAAAGTCTACATGAAATTATATCATTAATTGTCTTAGACAAATAAGCAACGAAAAGAATATTAACTGTTTTTTTTTTTGTTTTATTATTAATATTTGTACGAATTTTTGGACAACCGTACTCATAAGTAAAGAAGAGTGTCTCATGAGAGGAGTCATTATCACCCCGGGATGAACTGAGTTGGCTGTGATGTTAACACCCTCTTCCTGTTTCAATCAATAAATGAGGGAAACAAAAATGATAAGGATATATACTGATAAAAATAATGGAAAGATTTTATCCAAAAGTACCATTAATTTACTTACATCTTAATTTTTAATAAAAAAATTTGTTTTATATTTTTTTACCTACTAACCTTAAGATACTAACAATATTCAATACGGTAGGTTCACCTGGAAGCGACGAGAAAGCTCGTTTGCGTGTAATATGTTGGCCAGCTTGGACTGCCCATAGGCTTTCTTATCAGAGTATCTGAAAATTTATACCAATATTGGTAAAACAAAAATAAAATTGTTAAGCTATAGTTTTCCTGCAGAAAGGACAGAAAGTTTTACATGGTGGCACCCGAATAATTTCAAATATGTAACATATTGTTAGTTTTTGTCTAAATTGAAAAATATGATTAGATGTTCTTAGAAATTATCCGGATCACATGATCTCATTATATAACTATGCACGTAAAAAATTATTCTGAGGGAGAGTGGGAGTGGATTCAAAGTGTAATTAGCATTCATAGTTACATACCCATCTTCATCATTGATGTTATCAAATCGAATCCCCTCTTCGTAGGTGTAAACGTGAGCAATTGAAGACAGATTTATGATCCTGCCCTCAATTCCAGTGGTTTTTGCGGTTTGTTTCATCTTGTCAAGAAGAAGGTTCGTCAAGAGGAAATGACCTGAGAAATTAAAAAGAAAGGTAATAAATAAGAATACTAACAATTGGAGTACAAACATTTATATATATACACAAGTGCTGAGACGCTAGTACCAAGATGATTTGTTGCAAACTGCATCTCGAACCCATCTTCTGTTTTCTGATAGGGGCAGAACATGACTCCAGCATTGTTTCTGAAACCAAGACCAACAATGTCAAATAATTGTCAACATATCAGAAGGACGAACTTTTAATATTTTTACGTACATATTTTTAAACCGTCTTTATGTTTTACTTATTATCTCTTTTTTAAGTATAAGATAATTCAGTAAAATTATTTTATTAATTTAAATAAAAATTATTATTTATTCAAATTTGTTTTACTTTTTAATAAACAGCATATTCTACGACCATTTTGTAACTTCTAATCTTGTTGCACAATATTATAAAGTTTTAGTATATTTCAAAACCAAATACTAATGGGGGTATTCTAAGTTATTGAGAATGAGAGAGAGGGTTAAAGAAAGTACATTAAAATGTTGAGAGGAAGACCAAGAGCAATGAAGTTGTCCACAAATGATCTGACAGAATTCACTGAGCAGAGGTCAAGCTTCATGATGTCCACACGAGCTGACTCGTTTTCCTGCAGAATGAGTTGTTTTGCTTCCTTTGCAGATTGCATGTTTCTTGCACCAATAATGACATGGGCCTTTCGAAGAGCCAACACCCGCGCTGTCTCCAACCCAATGCCACTTGCTCCTCCTGCGTTATGATAATCGGAGAAAACTTAGATGCAAATTTTTATGTTTCCGTCTTATTTTCTAACCAAACTTGAAAATCAACCTTAATGATTATTATACAAATTATCAATATATATTTAAATCTTTTCCTAGCTATATTAAATAATCATGCTCTATTGGAATATACATCATTTTCAATTAATCTTCAATCCAACTACACCATCCGTCTTCATTTATGTATGTTTCGAATTCTCATCTACAAACTTTTGCTACTTCATAAACTTATTGAATTTGATCGTGTATCTAGTATCTACATCGATCATTGTTTCTCAAGTTCTTCCACCTGCCCCCGTACTGAGATGAATGACATGTATTTAATAACTATTTATTCCAAGGAAGATTGAATATTAATTCATACTGAGTTTAGTATGGAAGAAATAGATTCAAGGGTAACTGTTGCCTAACTACAGCTTTTGGTAGGAGATGTTGGCTTACCTACTTTCTATTCCTCTGGATCAATAACTACGAAAATTATTAAAGACATCTTGTACCAGTGCCATATTTTATTTAATTTTTCATATACCATTTGGTTCAATTAGTATTATGAAAATAAAAATAATAAAATAATATAACAGAAAAATGATAAAATAATCAAGGGAAAAAAATGATCAAAAGCTTTTTTTTTTTTTCCCTTGGAAATATTATAAGAACTGGAGACTGAAAGTGGATCTTAACCAGGTTTTAGATCCATCTAAATTTTCAAAACAGATAATGGTCGTTTGACATCTCTAGTGCCTACACCTGTTAGAGACAGAGATAAAAGGTGTTGAAAAATAATAGACTTGAAAATTAAATATGTTTTCAGTATTTAAATTCTTGTGAATTTTTATACTAAAAATAAATCATTTCTTATGGCGAGTATTCACCGACATGAATATCTTGGGTATCCATCATGTCTCATTAATAAGTAGGTAAATAAAAAATGTTTATTTTATCGGCAAGTATCCATTAAACTTTTAATGCAAATCATATGGATAGTGTGTTTACTTTTCGATTTTTTGTCATCCGTGATACCAAGAAAAGGAAAATAATGCTATGATTTTAGAATTATATGTAGAAACAGAAAGTAAAATTAGAAAACCTTGTCTCTGTGTCTCACCAATCATAACAAGTCCTAGGAATAGGTTGGTGTTTCGAAACCAGCTAATTAAATTATAATAGTTTAATCAAGATTCAACCAGACAAAATAAACAGACTCTAAATCAGAAACATTTGCACACTTGAAACATTGCCGCAAATAGAGAATCAAGCTACACCATCAAACATTCATTAATGCTGAATTTGGATCTGCTTTTTATCATTATCCAAAAAGATTCATATTAATCGAGACATTCGTCTTCTTATAAATCATCGTTTCTCTTATTGTTTTGACTAATCAATTGCACAGTAATAAGAGGGGAAAAAGAATATGATGAATAATTGAGATTCTGGATAAAGAAAAATGCGGCTGCAGAGGATTCTCATTTCTGTGATCATATGCAGACCAATTGGGTCCAATCACAGCCTCAAGCTGCCACTGTAACTCACATGTTGATACCATGCGAGACACTGATAAACAACATGTAAACCATTGATTCACACACAGAATGATCCAATAAAATAAATAAAACAAAAGCAAGAGAAATAATGAAGACACTAGACACGAAATGGCCAACACAAGACAGACATGAAAGTATATAGTAAAATCATGAAAAAAAATTTATACCATGCGAGAGTCATAACTTTAAGTTATAACATTAGCATGCTATGAAACTGAGTCAAAAAGCAAGCAACATTAATTAACATTGCGAAAAACTTACCTGTGATAATTGCAGTGAGGTTGCTGGCATCAATTCCTTCAGTAACATGTTCAGCAGTTGAGGCAGATCCGAAACCACTAGGTCCAGGCCTCCCTGTAACCAACGAAAAGATACCCACCATATTGCTATCACACAAATAGAGAAAAATCAAATCTGTGGTGAAAGCCGAAAGCTTAATTTCCTTTTTTGGTCTGAATACAAATAGATCACTGTATAAAGCTATGTGTATATATTTATACACATGTGCATGTTGTGGAAGCAAAGGTTACTACAAGTATATGGGTCAATAATAAGATGAATGTGGGGCCAGTGGAGTTAGCGATGAGATGATGGGGGAAGGAAAGCATGAGTGTAGTTATAAACACAAGGTTTGGAAGGTTGCAGGTTGCAAATTCCCTTGTTTTGGACCAAAGATTGGGTGTATTAAATTCTCACCGGTGAAGAGCTGTTGATAATTGAATTCCCTCAACGACCAAATTACACTATTTTTTTGATCTTACACACGAAAGTTATGGGGCCCATGATGCTGTGTAAAATTGGAATGGAACCCACGTGAAGTACCTCAATTTTTACGATTCTCAAAGCACTCAAAGTAGTTCGGGAACGTCAGCGACACATGACCTGTTTCTTCTACTTCTGCTTAATTTGTATCAGAATTCAGAAGGCCAATCAATTCTAATTCAGTCAGGTATATATATTTTTTTTTTCACCAACTCACCAAGATATTCTCATGCCATATTTAGACACCAGTAATTTCTTTGGAAGTCTAAAGGTTTTCATATTGGATTAAGATTTTGTCTCTAAAAAAAGTTTTTCTATACATGGCTAGGAATCACAGCAGTGACAACATATTTAAAGAAATTAATTAGGTATCAAGTTTACCAACTATGTTTTTCTTTTTCTAAATAAAAAATTTATGTAAATTGAATTTCAGAAACTCATTAGAAATAAGTTTTAAGGTTTTATTAGAGCTTAGTACTTAAAAATTACCCTACAATAAATTCTTCACGTCAACAAGGAAAATCAAAAGCACCATTTATGTTTTTGTTGAAAGTGTTAATTGATTTAAATCAGACTCATAAATCTCGTCTACAATTCTTATTTATTTTCAATTTATATATTAATTTTGTACTTATACAGAGGTACTTTTGTAATTTTCTTGTGTCAAGTCTCCTTTTAAATCATTTTGGTTCTATCCAAGTTGTAATCTTCAAGTTTACTTGTACAAGAGGAAATAACGGATTACATGCAAAAATCACTTATATTCTCTCTTTTATTTATTATTATTTATATTAATTTTATTGAGTCAAGATCCATATAAAGAATCATTATATTTTTATAAATTAATCATCCATTTTTAAAAGATATGATTGGTTATCAGTGTAAAAAAATTTTACGCTGACAATTTATGGATGATTAACTTTATTTTTATTATAACCTTTTTTTCTTTCATGAGTTTGCTTAGTCATTGATAGGTACCGAAGACTCTTCGGTGTTATCTCTTATTCTTCCTTTTCAAGTTTACCTATACAAGGGAAAATAAGGAAATACAGTCAAAAATCACTTATATTCTCTCTCTTATTTATCACTATTTATATTAATCTTATTGAGTTTGGACCCACCCAAAAACCTATAAAGAATTATTATACCTCTATTATAAACTTTTTTTTTTCATGAGTTTGCTTAGTCATTGATAGGAATCATCTCTCATTCTTCCTCTTCGGCATAAATCTAATTATTAATAATAATTCCAAATCTTTACTCAATATGAATTTTCAGTTCAATTTAATTTATAAAATTAATCTGTAAAATAAGAATTACTTCTAAATTATATACATTATACTAATAACATTAAAAAAAATATTATTTTGATCATATTACAAGTGAAGTCAATATATAATTTCGAACGTTATGGTAAAATGTCTGATGGTTTTTTTTTTTTTTTTGTGTGTGTATACAGCAACTACAGAACCTCAACGTTACCAGATATCCTAGTGAAGTGACAACGTCACAAGGGAGATGATTTTCTCTCTCTCTCTCTTTCTTTTTCAATTCAATCTTTTTCTGGTTGGTGTCTAGATGGATCACTACACTATGGAAATCCAGTCCTGTTATATTCTCACAAAACTTGATTACAACAGAAAGCTAACTTTGGGGCACAGTGTTTTCGATTTCTGGTCTTCTCATAAAACTTCTTGATTACAACAGAAAACTAACTTGTTGACGATTTCTGGTCTTCTTTTCAACCTACGCAACATATAACAGATATCAACTCAAGTACAAAAAATTCTTTCTGTCCAAAAACAAAAACAAGGATTAATATTGTTTTGTTATATATAAATGGATAATTAGTGTTTTTAGTATTTGAAAAGAGGGCTATATTTGATTAATTAGTGATTTAATTCCTAATTAACATAAGTTTTTGCAACGGATTTAATATAATTTTCTCCGTGAATTTTAATGTAACATTATAATATAATATAAAATAACTTAAATATCTATATTTTTTTTTACACCGAAACAAAAGTGATACTAAAATTCAAAATAATGTAACATTTTAATTAGAATAAATATTTTAGTCTCAGAATAATGTTTCAAATTAATTTAAGCAGAATATCTCCAAAGATATATAAGTAAAGGTTATAAAATGAGTGAGTTTGACTTAAATTTATGTCTATAACAAAAAATTAATTGTTATTAATTTTTATAAAGTGCAAAGGTTTCATATGTCGATAAAATTAAAAAGATTTCACACATAATTCTCTTATTTAAAGGAAAAATGTCTCTTGAGTTATTTTTTTATTTTATTTTCATTTTTTTATATCCTGTTGAGTTGATCTGTCTTGATAAAATGTGGAGTTTAAACTTGAAAGAATATTAGACTACTCACTTTTTTTTATAAAAAAAATTTCTTGACAGAACTTAAAATTAAAAGGAGACTAAAAATAGTGTCTGATATTTACTATATCAATTTTTTATTTGTTTAAGATAAACTTTGATATTTGATTTTAACAAATGTTACTTGGAGCACGTGATTTCAAATTCATCTATCTTTTTATTTTAACTCGATCAAAGAAACATGTACCAACAAAAATAATTACAATAATATTTTAAAAAATCTGCCACAAAATATTAGATCTGCTAAAAAAAATTCATAACTTGCATATATGACCAAAAATTAAATTTAAATTATTTTAGTCAATAGATACGTTAATTATAATATTATGTAATCAACATATAAGTCAACCACAAAAAAATAATGTAATACTTATATCTTTGAAATAATAATAATGCAAAGAATTAATATAATTGAAAAATCTAAAATATATTTTTATAATATTTTTTAAAGGGTGAGTGATGATCATAAAATCCCTTTTCAATTTGTTCAAAATGAAATTAATAATAGAATTACATAATTTTTTTTATTTTTACTCTAAAATAAACACGTTTCAACAAAAAATAATTACAGTAATATTTTAAAAATCAGCCATAAAATATTGGATCTGATAGAAAAGTATTAAAATTTAAACATCGTATTAAAAGACTAAATTAAATTTATACTATTTTAGTCAATTGAAACATTAATTATAATATGCGATCAACATATCAAACAAATTCATAAAAGAAGATAATATAACACTAAGATAATGATGTAAAGAATATTTTTAATATAATTAAAAATATAAAAATATTTTGATAACAATTTTTTTAAAGGATTGTGGTGATGACCATAATATTGTAACGTAGTAGGTTATTTTAGAAGGTCCAAAAGCTCAGTATGACTGATTCAGTAGTCCAGAACGGGTCATTCCCAAACTGGAACGGACCGTTCCAAACTACTGAATTGACCTATAAAACTTAGTTGAGAACGGACCGTTCTGGAGGGAGAACGGACCGTTCCAAACCCCAAAACGAGCCGTTTCGGAGGGAGTACGGGCCGTTCTGGATGGAGAACGGGTCGTTCTGGATGAGTACTAGAACGGGCCGTTCTGATTTTAGAACGGGCCGTTCTGCATGTGATTTTTGTACGAGATGTGAAGGTGCAGAATGGGCCGTTCCGGATTTGGAACAGGCTGTTCTGGCCACTCCGGAATTTCTATAAATAGGGGTTGTGGTGGAAGAGGAAATGTGAGCTTTTAGAGAAAGATTTAGCCTGTGAATAAAAACAAGCCAAGTGCTCGAACCTCATCGCATATTCCGATACTGACAACCCACCCTGGTGTAACCGCAGGAACTCAGCCTCCTTGGCGTGCCTTACACTCTCCGGAAAGTACTTCTCCATGAATACCGTCCTGAAGCACTCCCAGTCAACTGCAACTAGTTCCGGGTTGAGCTTCGGCAAGGAATTCTACTTCTTCTCAGTTATTGGCTATTTTGAGCCAATCTTCAAGTAAGGGAAGCTAGAATGTAGGTTGTTTAATTTCAGGAGAGTTAGGGAAGTTTTATGCATGGTGTTCTTTTGTTGAAATAGTTGAGTTGTTGGGTGCTTAAGTTGATTTATGTTGTTTATATAAGTTGACATGATAGATGAATTTTAAATATGTTGTATATTGCTGAAGTTGTTTATAAAGTTGTTAAGTTGCATTAAGTTGATATTGTAATGACTATAGTTGTTTAATTAAGTTATTTGCATGTTGTCAGTTGTCTATTGTTGTTAAGATGTATATTGCTGTAAAGTTGATAAGATGTCTATTGCTGAAAAGTTATATGTTGTTTAAGTTGTTACGTTTATTAAGTTGTGATGATAAGTTGTTGATCACTAGGACTAGGGGAGATATTTTCGAAGTTGCTCATCCCATTGTGTGGATTGAGATAGTTGTGGTGCTCTGAGAGCTCAATTTGTTGAAAAACCCTCCTTGGGAAGTTGTCCCTTGGAGTGGACATTGTATTGTTCTCCTCTAGGACTTAGTTGATCCCGTGTGTGGGCAAGGTCGAGGCACACGTGTACAAAGCGACCACGGTATAGGGGCCAGGCCGAGCTATACCGATTACAAGCGCCAGATGTTTATTGTTGTAAAGTTGTTATGGTGTCTATTGTTGTAAAGTTGAAAAGTTGGGGACATATGGTGAAGATATGTGTCCTATGTTGAGATACATAGTACTAAGGTGATAAGTTGAAAGTTGTTTTAAAGTTGAAAGTTGTTTTAAAGTTGAATCCCTTAGTACTGTGTGGGGAACATGGAATTAGTCGATCCAAGTCATGGTTGAATGACCAGTTTGAATAAGGTATCTAGTTAGAGATGTAGTCTTTAACTAGGTACTGGAGGGTGCGTGGTACTTGGAGGACAATGGGTGGGCTAACTCCATATGTGGATTGGTGATGCTAGCCAAGGCCGTGGTAGGCTCATACCCAAACCCTTCTGTCCTGATAGTAGTACTAGACCTCAGAGTCTAAGTGACACACCTGAGCAATCAACTATTGTTGTCTAT